GGCTCACCCACCTCAGTTTCCAGGACATTCCCTGCCCAGCCCCACCTGCAGGGCTGGGGTCCCATGGACCAGAGGCCACAGGACTATGGTCACTTCTTGTGCCCAGGGCTTGGGCCACTTTCTCTGGTCTGGGAGCAGCTTAAAGCAGAAGCGTCATGGCCCAGGACACTCCTTCTGCATGGCCCTGGGGAGGGAGGAAGATGCTGAGAGGGCCCCACCTGCTCTGTGGTCTTCTATAAGTGCCTGCCCTCTCTGGGCCTAGTTTTCTCTTTGTGAGTTGAGGCTGTTGGTTTGGCCATATCCGAGAGCTCTCCAGATGGACAGTGAGATGACGCCCCCACCTGACCAGGTGGACAGTGCAGAGAAAACCTGAGAACCCAGGGGCTCGGTGGGTGCAGGTCCTGGGACTGGGCAGCAGATGGATCAGGCTGGGCATGTGTCTCCAAGGGTCAAGGTTCAGGGTAAGGTTCAAGACAGAACAGACTCACACATGGATCCTAAGTATCAGCTCCTTCTGGGTCCTGCCAGCCTGGCACTCTTGCCTAAAAGTGTCACAAAGACCTTGAGTCCTCACCAGCTCCCCCAAGAGAGTGGAAGAATGTCAGAGCTGAGAAAAGCCATCCAGCCTCACCTCTTGCTGTGAGAAATGGGGAAGAACTCAGAGAGGGCAAGTATCTTGCACAGGATCACACAGCACAATGGGGCAGAGTCAGAACTAGAATCCAGAGCTTTTGACTTCCTTTTCAGTGCTCCTCCCTCCACACCACACTTTCTTTGGGTCCAGTCCACACCTGAGAGGGTGGACATTTGAGAGGGCAGGATGCTTTCTAGATGCCACTGGAACGTCTCCCTTCAGGCAACACCCAGACATCTTGGCACCCCAGGACAGGGAGCATGACCCCTGGGCACTGTGGCAGAAGGGACAGCTAGGGATGCATGTGTCCCTCCCAGGCATCCGAGCAGTGGCACTGGTGCCTCTCACCCCACCTCTTGTTTCCTGCTCCGCTCCCCATGGCCGCTCAGCCTGAGCCGTGACGCGAGAGCCACAGGATGTGGGGCTCAGTGCCCTGGAAGTGTGTCCATGTCCTGGACTTGTGGCCTCCGCCCCCAGGTCCTCGTTTCCATTTTGAGAGCACAGACGATTGCTCAGCACCTCGGTCCCAGGGCCCTGGAAGACGAGCACTCGGGCTTCAGCCAGGACCACTGAGATCTCGGTTGCCCCGGTAACAGCCAATGACATCAGCCCAAGTGCTGGGTCAAGTGTCTCATCGTGATGACACGGGCTGTTGCTGGGGCAATGGCAGGGTTCGGAACTTAGGTGCTGGGGACGTGACCTTGTTGGGTTTCTGCTACTATTTTGAGACCTTAGAAGGATCAGGCCTTGGGAGGGAGGTGACAGAAACTGCTTGGCCACTTGAGCCCACCCAGACACGTCATCCCCAGTCCTTTATGCTTTGTCACAGTGAGGACTCGACATTGACACCTGAGCCTCGTTTCTATGCCAATCACCTTGGTCAGCCCCAAGAGGGAAGGGAACAAACTGGCGATGTTGGGGTGTGCCTCTGAGTGTGTCCCCACCCCTCCCTCATCTGTTCAGTCTTCTGCAGACCCAGGGCACCTGCTCTTGGGACAGTTGGGTAACTTGAGCTGCTCCTGGACATGTCCAAGAGACAGGGAGAGAGGGGCTGGGCTGGCCACCAAGGAGGATGGAGCTCGCCATGTTGGGCCTCTTTAGGTACCTGGCACTCGCTGAGCCCTGCGCAGGCATCGGATCGTCCTCACAGCACAGTCACAGGTTAGGACTGCTCTTGGCCCCGCGTACAGGGAGGTCACTGGGGCTCAGAGGTGAAGCGCCCTGCCTGTGTCCATCAGCCTCCCAGGGGTGAAGTACAGATTTCTACCCAAAGGCCACACACAGGGCCAGCCTCAGCCCAGGGCCAGAGAACCCCAAAGGCACAGACGAGCTCAGGTGCGCCGCTGCTGGTGTGGTTCCGCCTGAAGGGACGGCCCACCTGGCTCAGAGGGACAGGAGAGACAGGTGTTTCTGGAGGGACCTTCCCCAGGGCCAAGGTCCCTTTGGTGAGGCCGTGAGAAGGGTCCCTGCCCTGAGGGATCTTGTCCCGGGGACCAGGCAGGGAGGGGACGCATCTGCTCCTCTTCAGACTCCGCTGTGGGCCACGCCCTGGGCAGGTGCTCCACAGCTGCGCTCTGCCAGATTTGCCCACCTTGAGGCATGTGGCAGCACCCCTCCCAGAGTCCCAAGGGGGCGTCCACCCTTGCCACAGTCATGCATGACCCGGGACCACAGATGGGGCACGGAAGTTCTCGGAGGAGGACGAAGCCCTCACTTTACAGATGAGGAAGCTGAGGCTGGGGAGGGCGAGTGACCCCCCAAAGCCACCCTGCTGAGACTGGGGCGCTGTGAGCCCCGCTTGCAGGCCGCGCCTCATTCTCTTCAGGACCCAGGCCCCTTTCCACAGCATCCTAGGTGTCCCAGACCCTGGCCTGAGGGGACTGGGGAGGGGCCCTGCCAGAGATGGGATCACTCTTCACCCCTATTTCAGATGCCTGCCACCCCGGACCCCACCCCGACACCCTGACCCTGGGAAGGGGCCCGTGTGGCCCAGGCTGAGCAGCCGGCAAGCATGTCACGTTGTCTATGAAGTCAGTGCCCCCACTGCCCGCCCTCCGCGGCCGCCCCCCGGGTCCCTCCTCCCTGTTTGTACACAGTGGCCTGCGATGCAACGTGTGCGCGTGTGTGACCTGTGTCATGGTTTTTGTTACTTTTTCGTTTTTGTAAATTTGAATGTTCAAAATAAACTTTCGGTTTACTCGAAGGCTCTTCTTTGGGGGTGGGGGGTGCTGTCCCCGGGGCACCTGCCCTGGACTGCCCCAGAGCTTCCCCACCAGAGCCGCCCTGGGCCTGGCTGGTTCTGCCAGCGGCGCTCAGTCACACCTCTCTTCCAGCGTTCATGCTGCAAGCTGTGGGAACCAGGTCCCTCATGGAAAGTGCCCCAGTTCTGGGAACTGGGCTTTGGCCTCGTTCCGAACACCCCTTCCCCACCATGTGCCCCAGTTCCAGGATCCGGGCCCCCGACTTGTTCCCTAGGATCCAGTCTGAGTCACCTGCTTGGACCCTTGGGGTCCTGGAGATGGAGTTGGGCAGGTGGAAGGACCCTGTCATATTCCAACCCCTCCCCCAAGGTGGCTGGACTCCTCTGGCACCTGCGGCCTGGAGCCTGGGCCCTGGGAGCAGCATTAGGGTCTGCTCCCGACCCCACCCTTCTACCACCCACCCCCAGTCCTGCGGGGTCTCCATATTTCCCGGGACCTCCCTGCGCACACGGTCACGGGGGCATTTTACCAATGTGACCACTGTTCGGGGCTGGACTTTGTCTACAAATGACCCCTGTGAAGTCAGGGGCTAGGCAGGGTCACACGAGCAGAAGGGACTCCGCAGGCTGTCCCCAAAGCCTCCCAACCTTCCAGGAATTCCAAGAGTGAATTCCAGGTAGGGCTGGCTGGAAGTGGCCTGTCCAGCGGGAAGGCCCGAGGGAAGTCGGCTACGGTAGCTGAGAAGCCCACGTGCTGCGTTGACTCCAGGCCAGAGCCCCAGATTTGTTTTAGGACAAGGATGTTTTCAGTGACTTCCCACCAACGGGAAGACACACCTTGAAGGCCCAGCTGCACAGATGCGGCCTGTTTATCCTCTCCTGCAGGATTCACCTGCAGACGCCCCCTCTCCCTCTGTCCCCCAGGCTGGCTGCCCAGCCCGGTGCCATCCCACCTCCCCGTCTGCTTCCCAGCTCTGCACAGCTGAGTCCTGTGTGGGGAGGCTCGGCTCTGGCACCCCCTGATTCCTATTGAACTTCAGGCCCAAGGTCCCCAGGGCCGCGTCACCCTGCCCCTCGACCTAAGCACTCTCTAAGGCTACGTTATACTGTCCCTGTCCTCGACTCTGCAACCCCGCATCCCAGCCCTGCGCCTCACATCAATTGTACCTCCTCGTTCCTGGAGGGGACAAGGCCATCGCGCGGTCCCTCCCTCCTCACGGCCTCCAGGTGCCCGTGAACCAGCGCGAGCCCACTCCTCAGCTTCCTCCTGTCACCCTGACCTGTCCCTGCTTCTCTCAGAGGCGCTGTGAACTAGAGCCCTTCCCCTCGACCATCTCCAAAACGTGTCCCGCAAGTGACCAACTCATCCCCCACTGCTTTGTCACCCCAGCGGGCGCGCACTTCCCCCCAGTGTCTCCTCCCTTAAACAAAATCCCTGCTTTGGTTACTGGAAGGGCTTGGAGAGGGGCCTTGCTCAGGATGACCGTGTCCTTGACGCGCCAGCTGCAGAAGACAGCAAGGGTCAGAAGAGCAACGCGGGAGGGCAGCACAGGCACCAGGAGAGGGACCGCATTTTCAGGGTCTCAGGTTGTTCTGTCAAAGAGGATTTGGTGGGGGTGGGGGTGGGGAAGTGCGTGGGGATGGCATCGGCATGGTGACCACAGGACAGTTTAAGGTGGCCTAAGGATTCTCAGGATCCCAGGTGGACGTTGTCTCCTCTGCTTGATCCTTGGACAAGGCTGGGAACGCTGCCTGTATTACAGGTTTCTTAAAATATCATATGTCCTTTTGTTAAATCTATTCTAAAAATATGCGTTCATAACTCACTGTGTGCAGTTCTCATGAGCGAGTGAACCCACAGGAGCTTCAAGGTCCACAGATTTCCCAAGAATTTGCGAATGGCAGGCCTGGGAATGGAACCCAGGGCCTCACACATATGAGGCCAGTACACTACCACCGAGCTACATCCCAGCCCTTTCTATTTATTATTTTGAAAGAAGATCTTGCTCAAATGCCCAGGCTGATTTTGAACTTGCAATCTTCCCTCAGCCTCCTGAGTAGCCGGGATGCTGGCTCACACTGGAATTTGAATTCAGTCTGACTCTGGAAAAAGCCTGCTATGCGAGCCACCTTCTGACACTGTAGCAAAATACTGGAGACAGTCAGTTCACAAAGAAAATATTTATTTGGGCTCACAGTTTGGGAGGTTCCAGTCAGTGGTCAACTGCTCTGTTGTTCTGGGCCTGTAGCTGGGCAGCACGTCATGGGGGGCATGTGGCAGAGCCAAGCCACCCACCTCATGGCCAGGAAGCAAAGAGAAAGAGCCTGGGGTCTCACAGTCCCCTTCAAGCACACTCCTAATGACCTAAGGACCTCCCATAGCCCCCTCCATCAACACTGCCACCCTCTCCCAGTAGAGTCCCTCTGGGGACCGAGCTTTTAACACAGGGCTGTTCAACATCCAGGCTGTGGCACACAGATGCCACACTAGGTGTCTGTGATTGGGTTCCCTGTCCTTTCAGGGTATCAAAACAACAGCTGGTGGAGGAGTTTTCTGTTGTACACCGACTCCCCGCCGAGAAGCCCAGGAGAAAACGAAGGGCATGTTTAAGACGTCCGAGGAGCACTGAGGCTGCAGCTCAGTGGTCAAGTGTTGCCTCTCATATGTGAGGCACTGGGTTCAATCCTGAGCACCACATAAAAGTAAATAAGGGTACTGAGTGCTCATCTACAACTAATAAATATTAAAAAAAAAAAAGGCGTCTAAGGAAGGCACCAGGGAGGAGCCGACCACAGGCGGTTTGAGGGACACCAATGTGAAGGATGAGAAGTGCAGAGGGTGAGTCTGACCTCAGGGCAGAGGCCGCCTTTGCAGGCACCTCCCACAAATGGCTGTGTCCAGCAGCTGGCCAACTGTCCTAGAAGTCAGATACCAAAGAGGTGTAGAGCATCCAGCTGAGAAGAACTCCAGGTTCAGGAGGAGGCACTCTGGCAAATGACCCAGACTTTCAGGGTCATACTGCCCCAAAGCGTTAGTTTATTATTATTTTGTGTACCAGGTATTGAACCTGGGGGCACTTTACCACTGAGCTGCATCCACAGTCCTATTTTTTATGTTGAGACACAGTCTTTCTTGTTAAGTTGTTGAGGCTGGTCTCCAACTTGCAATCCTCCTGCCTCAGCCTCCCGAGTCACTGAGATGATAGATGTGCCACTGACCCAGCCAGGGTCACAGCTTCACAGTAGGTACCCTGCAAACATCCAGCCTTCCATGGATTACCAGCTTCCATTTCATTCATCAACTGAATTACAGTATCAGCCAGTTCACCGGCAGCTTTCTAGAAACAAGAAAGAAAGAAAGAAGCAAGAAAGAAAATATTATTTTACTTTTTTTCCCCCCTAAGGTGAGGTCTCACTACATTGCCTGCTGGGAGCCATTAGCCAAGTAGGTATGACAATTTCCTTGCCAGCGTACCCCATGTTGCAGTGACATTGAATGTACGTGACCTTGCTCAAGGACCAAGGCAGATTAGGGTGTTCCCGGTTTTAAGATAATCGTGTTTAGGGCGTTCCCAGTTTAGGTTCCAGGTTTAAGGTTTAAGACTATTCCTGCTGGGAATAGGGCGTATCCTGCTGCCTGAGTTCCCCTTGAGTTCTCACGGGATTCAGACAATATATTTTGGAGATAGAAGCCCAGTGGAGGTGAATTTGGGCAGAGAACGTGGATTTGGGAAGAGAACGTGGATTTCCCCAGAACGTGATTGTAGACGGCTGGTGTGAGTTCGGGAATAAAGAGTTGCTGTTTGAATCTACAAGCTGTGTGGTGGCTCGTGATTGTGTGCCCAGCCAGACTGCGGCAATTGCCCAGGCTGGTCTGGAATTCCTGGGCTCAAATGACCCTCCTACTCTGGCTTCCTGAGTAGCTGGAACTACAGCATTGCCAAGCTTGTAAGATATTTGCTATACATGATTTGGCATTCAATAGAAAACTATCACATACCCAGAAACAAACTGAATGGCTGAATTTCCATAGGGGGGAACAAAATTTAAAGTCATCTGATAAAACTGCATAGAAATAAACACACACACGGGTAAAAGTGGAGGGAATCTGGATATGATCGCATCTGTGTCCATACCTTGGTGATGTTTTACTCAGGTAAGAACACAAGAGATCTCACTTTGATACACACACACATACACACACACACACACACACACACCCCAGAATAGAATCTACAATTATCTCAAAGTAAAAAATAAAAAATTAAGAAATACAAAAATAAGAGATCCAAATAGTGGAGTTATAAGACCCTTGAAAGCAATTATGAAGTCACTTTCATAATTGAAACACTGGAAGGCTATTATATTTGGGACATTAGAGAACAAATTGGAGAATTTCAACAGAGAATTATAGACTATGAAAAAAGAATCAAATGGAAATCTGAGAACTGAAAAATATACTACCCAAATTTATGAACTTAATAGATTTAACAACAGGCCAGATGCAGGGAGGAATTTCTGTATTCAAGAAATCAAACGAAACGAGGGGAACATGGAGTGCCGAGAAGGGTTAAGCAAACATCAGGGCACCGCGCAAAAGCCTGACACACAGGGAGCCCCGAGGAAATGGGAAGTGGGATCAGGGCAGAAATGATATTAGAACACATAGTGTCTAGGAATCTTCCTCAAACTAGTGTCTAGGAATCTTCCTCAAACCATCGAAATACATTGAGCCACAGGTTCAAGAACCTCAGGAACTCCAAACATGGGAAATGCAAAGAACACCACAAAGAGGGCCTGAAAGTGAAAAAACCTTAAATCAAAGACAAGAGGAAGATCTTAAAAGCACCCAGAGAAGGATGTTCTATTTTCCAAGAAGCAACAGCAAGAAGGATAGCTTCCTGCTGTGACTTGAATGTGTCCCCTCAGCTCACGTGTTAGAAATGCAACCCCAGTGCAGCCAACCCAAGGTGGCTCCCTCTAATTCTGATGCTCTTCCCCTTCCCTCCCTGTTCAGCCATGGGATGCACAGTCAGATCGCCTTCACCAACTGCAGGTGCCGTGCTGTTGGCCTCCCCAGCCTTAGAACTGTGAGAAATAAACTCCTGTTCCTTATAAATCACTCGGTCTTGCAGAGTGCAGTGCTGCATGCCTGTAATCTCAGTTACTCTGGAGGCTGAGGCAGTGTTGGCAACAGGTCCACCTTGGCCCCTGGAGCCCTACCTCCACTAGTTTGTTCTGCATGCCAGTGTGGCCAGCTCACAAGGCCATGGCGAACTTGCGGTTTTTCTGTTCCTGCTTATCCGTCTGAGATATATGTATCCCACGGGAATGCCTTGACCTTTTCTGGTCTGATGGACTTATTGTTAAGGGAGGTTTCGGTACCTGACAATAATAGATGTTAAAACTAAATTTCTCCCCCCTCCCTCCTGCTTTTGGGTAGTTTTCCACTTCTGCTGCTTGGGGTATAAAAAAAGGTGTGTTAGCAATAAAGATTATTATTGACTCCTGGATGAAGAACCTTGGTGTCCTGTGTGTCTTTTAACCTCGCCGTCCCTCGCCGGACTCGGCTCCCTTGGCCGGACGCGGCAAGGCAGGAGGATTGCAAGTTCGAGACTAGCCTCAGAAACTTAGCAAGATCCTGTCTCAAACTTAAAAAATGAAAGGGCTGGGGATGTGGCTCAATACTAAGATGTCCCTGTGTTCAATCCCCAGTACCAAAAAACTAAAAACTAACAACTCAGTCTCAGTTAAAACTCAGCACAAAATGGAGTAAGACAATAACTTTTCAATAAAAGGAAGGGAGAAAGGAAGAAATCTCCCAAGTGCTGGAAGGAAATAACTGGCTCCACAGAATTCTACATTCACTGAAAACATCCTTTAGAAATCAAGAGAGAGGACCCTGAGCCAGGCATGGTGGTGCACTTCCATAACCAGCTTGGGAAGTGAAGGCAGGAGGAGTGAGAGTTCGAGGCCGGCCTCACCAGCAGAGCTTCCCTGAAGGAAATATTAAAGAAAGTGCATTAGGGGGAGAGAAAGTAATCCCTGGGGCGAGCATGGAGATTCCAATGGAGACCACCAAAAAGGATGGCTGTGTACCAAGCTAAGTAAATATTGATGGAAAAAAAACAAAAGCGATTACATCTTGTGAGGTTTCAAACCCATGACACCAACAGGAACAAAAGGTGGGGGAGAGACACACACAGGTAAAGTAGTTCAATGTCCTTCCTTTGTCCTGAAAGTAGCAAAAATATGAATTTACATTAAACTTTAACATGCCTAGGAGCACTGTTATTTGTCCTATGGTAACACTAAAAGATCTGTGTATTAACATGGGACTCACAAGTTATTAAAAAAAAAATGGAATGATAAAAATTCAAAAGAAGACCAAAAAGTGAGAGAAAAGGTGGGACAACAGAAAACAAATGGCAAATTTGCTGATTTAATCATGAATTTAGAGAAGACTATCAGACAATGCACAGATCACACACCCTAGCCCTGGAGGATAAGGAACTGCCTCCAACGCCCATCTCAGATGACATCTCCCTGGCCATCGTTTTTTGGAGGTGTCAATCTTTTGTCACTGAGTTTAAAGAGCCAGGTATTAGGAATAAGATTATGCATAAAAGTTTCCTAAAAATTCCCAGATGGTTGCAGATACAGATAAAGTATGTGATATTTTAGAAACTTAGCGGGGGGGAAAAGTAAAGTGGTATTTTTTATGTAAAGCCTTGACCTAATGTTTAAAAGCCTAACCCTATTTAGATCTTGTTACTGCTCGAGTACATAGGAGATGTCTAAAGTGTTACAGCAGTTGTTTATGTTTAAATTGTGGGTGTCAAAGATCAGGAAAAATAGAGTGGTTATTTTTCCTAAGTGAAATAATTCTTTTCTCCACCCAAATTTTTTCTCTGAAGTTGCTGGCATTTGGGTCAAGGTTTTAGTAAAAGCTACATTTAATGACAGTAGCACAAAAAAGGTCAAAGTAAATAAAATAAATGTAACGTACATGAGTGATTACTTTAAATATAAAAAGATAAATATTCCAATGAAAAATTAATATGTCAATCTGAATTTAAAATTGTCATTTGAAAGATTCAAATTAAAAGGATAAAAAATATATACTGTGAAAATATTGACTAAAAGTTGGTATACTTAGTGTAAAGTACACTTTAATACAAAAAGCACTGATAGGGATAAAAGGGACATTTCATGATGATAAAGAGTCAGTTTTGGGGGTGGGGGTCTAGCTCAGCAGTAGAGCACTTGCCCAGCATATATGAGGCCCTGGATTTGATCCCCAACACTGCAGGGAAAAAAACAGTCAACCTCTTAGGAAGATATAACTATTATAAATTTGAATGCACATATGAACATAGCTCCATATATATAAAATAAAAAGTGAAAGAACCAAAAGGAAAAATCTAGAAATCCAAAATCATAGTGAAGTAGTTTAACACACCTCTTTCTTTTTTTTTTTTTTTTTTTTTAAATATTTATTTTTTAGTATTTGGCGGACACAACATCTTTGTTTGTATGTGGTGCTGAGGATCGAACCCGGGCCGCACGCATGCCAGGCGAGCGCGCTACCGCTTGAGCCACATCCCCAGCCCAACACACCTCTTTCAATAACTTGTAGAACAGACAAAAATACAGTGTGGGTACAGAAAATTTAAACAAAATGATCAACAATTTTGACCCAACAAAGTGACTACCGAGTAGACATCCTTTGCAATTTCACATGGAAAATTTACTGATTATGACAGGGCAAAATCATACCTCCTCCCAGAAGAGGACCACACCCTAATCCCCAGAGACTGTCACTATGTCACAAGGCATCTGGGTTGGATATTAATCGTCCCACCAAAGGCTGATGTGTTGAAGACTTGATCCCCAACTCAGGGTACTGTTGGGAGCTGGGGGTGAGGTGGAGGAAGGAGGGCATTGGGGGCGCATCCTTGAAGGGTGCTTCTTGTCCCCAATCCCTTCTGCAGCTCTCTCTGTTTCCTGGCCACCCTGAGGTGAGCAGTTCTGCCATGTTGCTTCTGCCTCACCACAGACCTAAAAGCAATGGAGTCAGATGACCATGGACTGAAACTTCTGAAACCAAAATAAAGCTTTCTCTTTACATAATTTTTCTCAGAAATTTTGTCACAGAATGGAAAGCTTAGTGACAGGCAGTGGCAAAAGAAATTAAGGCTGCAGATAGAATTACTGTGGCTGATCAGAGGAAACAGGACCCTGGATTATCCAGATGGACCCAATGTCATCACGCGTGTACTTAGATACGGAGGAGGAAGGCGGAAGAGCCCGTGTCACAGAGAGGCAATTGGAGACTCAACCAATGGTTGCTGGCTTTGAGATGGATGGGGCCATGGCCCAAGAAGGAACCCCTGGAAGCTGGAAAAGCAAGGAAACAAGAGTCTCTCTTAGGAAGGGATGCAGCCCTGGGGACACCGACTGTGGCTCAACAAGACCTATTTCAGACATCTGACCTCCAGGACCATCACAGACAACAAGCTTGTGTTGAGTCACTAAGTCTGCTATAATTTGTGTGGTAGCAGCAGGAAGCTAATGCACAGCTGATCGTTTGCCGGATGAAAGCACGTTTCAATAAACTCTAGAGAATGAAAGTGTTGGGAAAAGTATAAACGGCAGCCATACCCCAGAGAAAAAACCCCAACATGGCGCCTAAGCACCTCTTCTTCCTACCTTCTTCTTTTCTGCAGTGGCGCGAAAAGTTCCCGCCCGTGTGAACTCTCCCGCCAGCGCCAATTTCAAATCTCGCTGGCGGGGAACCTTAGCCCCAATGAGAACTAATTCCTGGGGTCCGGAGCTGATATCTGAAAGAACTTGCCAATAAACGGGTGGCCTGCCATTTATCTAAGCCCTACCATCTCCCCCTTAGTTCTATATAAGCACACTGCTTTTTGCAATAAAATTGGAATTCTCCCGGCGAAGTGTCTTTGCATGGGGAATTCTTTCAGAAAGCACATGGGGTGTGAAGCCAGATATCAATAATAGAAGAAGCTACATAACGCCCAGATGTTCACAAACGAAGCAAAACACCAATGACTCATGGATCCATGAATGTGGATCAAGGAAGGGACCTCCTTGATTAGACCATTTGAGCCAGATGACAACGAAAATATGGAATACCAAAACGTGTGAGATGCAGAGGGAAATTTGTATGCTGAGAGGGAAATTTTTAGCCTAGAAAGTGTATGCTGGGAAAGAGGAAAAAAACAAACAAACAAAAAGAAGGAAATAATAAAGATAATAGCAGAAACTAATAAAATAGGAATTGAAAAATACTACAAAGAGAATAACATCATAAGTTGGCTCTTTAGAAACAAGGAATCAGAATGGTTAAATTTCAGTGAACAGGGAAGGAGGAAAAGGCAGGGAGAAAGTTCTGGAATCATGAAGTAGGCTACTTGGGGGCCGAGCCAGGTCGGGAGCCACCAAGAATGAGCCCCAGGGAGTTGTGACACAGATTTGTCACAGCTAGCATGGAGCCAGCTCTGCTCTGGGAAAGGACACAAGCCATGAGCTGAGTCCCACGTCCCACCATGAAGCATAAAGGGGCCTCGAGAGCCTGCTCTCTGTTGGGTCCTGTGAGGAACACAGGGTGGAAAGAGGAAGAGGGCCAGGTCCTGCTCTTCTGAGGAGGAGACAGGATTAAACCACAGGGAACAGAGGGGAAGACAGTGACAGAAACATGCACCACACCAGACGGGAACACAAAGGGCTCTTCTGGTTACACATGATGGGATCCCAATGTGGCAAGTTTAGGCCAAAAGCCTATAAACTCCTCTAACAAAAAGGAGGGTGAAGGAGGAGTAGGGGCAGGGTGTAAGCAGGGAGGTGAGAACAGCCTGGAGGGTGGGGAGAGGAGGGAGAGTCGGCGTCTGGGGCATAAAGCTCACAGGACGGAGCAGCAAGAGGAGATACAGCAACTAAAAGAATGAGAAGGTAAACTCCATTTCGTATGCTGTGTCGAGACGCATTCCACTGTCTTGTATGACTAATTAGAACAAAGGAAAAAGAGAGAGATGTGGGTACCACGGCCCACACGAGGGGCCTTGACTGCCAGGTCATGGCACGTGGATGTCACCTGGCAAGCGCTGGGGCTCCGTGGAGGAGGGAAGTTGTTAAACAGGTGGGACTGGTATGGAGAATGATTAGACAGAGCAAGACTGCCGTCGGGGAGTCCCGCCAGAAAGCTGGGCAGCAACACAGCCAGGATCGTGGTGTGGTGCACGTGGGGAGGGCCCCGGGCGTGGCCAGGAGGGCCTGTACTGGGAGCCAGGAGTCAGACCTGGCAGATGTGACTGGCCAGAGGTGGGCTCTGTTCGTCAGCTTTGGGCTGTGACAAAATACCTGACAAGAAGAGCTTAGAAGAGGAAAAGTTCATTTTGGCTCATGGTTTCAGAGGTTCGATCTGTGGTCAATCGATTCCATTGCTCTGGGCCCAGCTGAGGTGGACATCAAGGAGGAAGGGTGTGGCCTAGGTGCACTGCCCACCGCTTGGTGGCCAGGAAGCAGGGATGCAGGGGAAAGGACCAGAGGAAAGACTCACCCTTCCAGGGCACACCCCTAGTGACCCACCTCCTCCAGCTAAATCCCACCTGCTTACAGGTACCACTCAATCTGTCCATTCAAATCAGGATGACTGGGGAATGAGATGGAAGGAAACCCTGCTACTGAGGAATAAGTAGGTGATTCAAGGTAGCAAGAAATTTGAGAGCGCTGGTGAAGCACAGAGGGCAAAGGAAGAAAAGCCCAAGAAAGGGGCCAAAGACGGAGGGAGGTCTGTGGAGATGCAGGAGAGGGTGTCAGGATGGAGCAGCAACTATCAACCGTGGGTGTGCACCCATGTGCCTGGGAAGGTCCATGTTCCTGCCCCTCACCATTCTGGTGCAGTGGCAATCTGCACTGTAGAGTTCTACAGGCGCTGCCTCCATGCTAGAGCCTGAGGAGGGTCATGGAGAGCAGATTCCAGCCTACAGGCCGATGGAGGCAGGAACGTAAAGCTGGAAAGTGGGGCTTTCAGATCCCATGGCTCAGGAGGTCACTGGCAACTGTGAAAGAGGCAATCTGGGTGGTGTTGTGGGAGTGGAAGCCAGATTGCAACAGGCTGAAGACTGAAGGGGAGGTGAGAAAGAAGACAGCAGATGTGGACCCCCTGCCGGAGGAGTCTGGGTGAGAGGCGGAAGTGAGAGCATCATCTCACTCAAAGGCCACCTTCCATCTCCCAGAGCGAGCTGGCAAAGAGGACTAAGGAAGACTGGAGGCTGAGTGACACATTCCATGGACCCTCACAACGTGCCAAGGCTGCAAGCTGGGAACGGCAGGGACCTAGTGCACTTCAAGCTGCCAAGTCTCAAAACCAAAATCATTGTAGCTGCCTTCTGTCTACACACTCCAAATCCAGCCCACTGTCCTCACCACCTAAGTGATCTTCTTGGATCTTAAATAAGACTTGTTACTGCCCTGCCTGAAATCCTCCAACAGCCACTCTCCCCCGTTCCTACCTCACTTGGGGGAGGACTGGAGTTCCTGAACCCAGCATCTGAACACCTTCTGTCTACTCCTACTTCCTTCTGGATCCTCACTCCCCCGGCCTCCCACCTGCACTACATTTGCTCTACATCCAAGCTTCACAGGAGCCTCCAATAGTCCCCCATAGAACTATTCTGTCTCTTGGGCTGGGGATATGGCTCAGTTGGTAGAGTGCTAGCTTCACATGCACAAGGCCCTGGGTTCAATCCCCAGCCCCACACTAGCAAAAGAAAGAATTGTTCTGTCCCTACTGATCTGTGCCTTTGGTGGAATCAAGGTGCTCATCTTGCTCCTCTCTGAATCACTAACACCTGGCCATGGCTGAGCTCCCAGTAACTGCCAGGGACAATAGAGGTTCAACCCTAAAGTAAGCATGAAGTAAATGTTTAAAATTATGGAGTTCCTCAAGCACCCTTTGATCCACCCAATGTAATCTGCAATGTAATCTTCTGGCTCTTTCCCCTCCCCTTCTCCTAATTTTCGTTAATTGTCCTCCCGAGAGAGCGACCAGGACTGGGCGACCTTGGAGGAGCTTGTGGCGCGATGGAAAGAGCACCTGGGTTCTTCTCCAGCGTCATTACCTTGTTTCCTTTAAGTGGTTCCTTAGCTTCACTTTAGTTCGGGAGGGAACGTGGATCCTACCAACTAAAAGTACTGAGGTGAGAACTGAGTGGGCTTCTGAGAGCCTAATAAAGTAGCAGCTCAGTGTCACGACGCCAATAAAATTTGCATTTGTTATTTCAAATGTCGAAAAAAACCCAAGGTAATACCGCTTCTCCAAGTTCCTCCAAACCGAGAACTTCTGTCTGTCCCTGGCTCCTCGGGCACACTTAAGACGACTATAAGCGAAGCCCCGCCTCCCTAGCCTGTAAGTCACGCCCCCTTCCGTGCAAACCCGTGCGTCGTAGGTCCCTTCCACATGATTGACACTTTTATACACCAATAAAAAGTGAAATTCCTGTCAACGTCCGGTGAGGGGGCAGGACTTCCTTGCTGGTTGCTAAGACACTCTTGTTTGCTCCTTGACAACCCTGGCGGGGGTGCGCTGGCTGCGGCCCCGGCTCCGGCCCCCGCGGGAGCAGGTGAGGCCCCGGGGCGCGGCGGGCAGCCAGGCGGGGAGGGCTGGCCTGGAGGGAGGGCGGGAGGCAACGCGGGGCGGACGAGGCCTCGCCCACCGCCGAGGCCCCACCTCAGTCTCCTGCCTGCTGTTCCCCAGCCCCAGGACCTCCCCCCCTTCCCTCCGCAAACCCACCAGGGGGACCTGCGTGCTGGGTCGCGACAGATTCGCCGTCGCGACTGTGCAGGCCGCCTCTCCCCACTACCCGGCGCCCCGTCCAGCTTTGGGCTCGCTCAGCCTCTCTGATCCGACTCCCCCAGCACCGCGATTCCCCAACCTTTCGCGAAGTAATCCACCTTCCGCATCTGGGCTGATGGTCACCTTCGCCTCGGCCCAAGACTGCTTGGCTTGGAGAGTTGGCAACTAGTGGGACTCTGGACTGGTCATTACCCTTTTGGGGACGCAGTCTCCCCATCTGTAAATGAGAACTCGGTTTGAATGATCTCGAAAGGCCTCTTGGACTTGGCGTCCAAGGATATTATTCTTAGACCCCACTGTAGGTTTTCCTGAGGATGCTTTCTCCGCGGGAGGAAGTGTGTGTGATGCGGAGAACTGGCCAACCTACTTTAGATTCCTACTTGCAGGACCCTTGCAAGTTACCTAACCTCCCTGGGCACCAGTCTGTGCATATATAAAGCCAGCGCATCTCCTTTGGGAATTCTGAGGATATGAATTGAAGTACAGAGTTCCGCCCAATGTAGAGTCAGTATTTGTTTCTCTTCCCTCCCCACATTCCCCCCCCCCCCCCCCGCTCGGGGAAGTATGAACCAATTTCCAACAGCATCAGCTGTCATTTCTCCAGTTGATTCTCAGATCCGCATCTCCAGTTTTGATCGTTTGCCTGTGCTTTGTGGTTAGGGATACGGATGAGGAGGCAGGAAGCAATCAATACAGTGCTGCACCGGGTGGGACTCAATGGCTTCCCTTCTGCCTCTGGTCATCCACGATTCAGCGATTTCCTACTCGTGACTAGATTCTGCCATTTGCACATCTTGTCAGCGACTTAAACCTAATAGTTCTAAAATCAAGCTGGCCTGCTCTCTTACCCCTCTGCTGGTTTCCCTGGTGTCTGTCAGTAGTGTACTCATCCTTCTAGGGCATCCGCAGTCACTCTACTGTGCCCATGCCACTTGGGCAATTGTCAGGTTATTCTGAACCTGTCATCCTCTCCATTCCTTAAGCCACCATCCTGGCTCACATCTTTAATGTCTGTCACCTGGGCTTCCTGACTGCTGTCACTATCTCCTCTCTCCACAGATGAGATGATGACAGCAACACACAACCCACCAAAACACACAGCCCTGACACCAACCACCAAGGACACTCTAAAGGGCTTCCCATTCCCCGCCCCCCCCACCCCCCCCAAAAAAAAAGCCACTTCTTGAGCCTGGGTTTTAGGGTCTTTTACATTTCCACAACCCAACCCTAGCCTATTTCTTTCTTTTTGGCCAAATTCTATACTGCAGTCAAATTGGACTATTGCATTTCCCCAGAAAATGCTTTGCACTTTCTGCCTAAGTGCCACTGTTCGGTCATCTCACTGCCTGGAAGGCTTCTCACCTGCCCACCTGTCAGGATCCCACTTACCTTTGAAGGCCTGATTCCAGTGCTGCCACTGCCCCCATCCCCAAGCTTTTCTTGCTGTCCTCTCTTAGCCTCCTTCTCCCCCTCCAGAATTTTCTTCCCTCTTCTCTACATCTGTCTTGTGACCCTTTCTGGAACGGTGAACCATAACTCCTTGAGGCATGCATGTTGGTCTGTTCGACTGTAAACTCCTTGAAGGCAGGGGCTCTCTTGCTTAAAGTAGTTGAAGTCTTATATACCTGGGTTGGAATCCCAGCTCCTCCATTTATCAGCTGGGTAAAGGATCTCCTTTACTCAGACTCTGTGCTCCTCAGTAGAATAGGAATAATGGTGAGGGAAGGGACATCTTAAATGTCCCTTAAATGTGATTGGATAGCTTTGATAGGTCCTCTCCCTTCTCAGAGGCTAATGAAATATAATTTTTGTGTGTGTGTGATGCTAGGGATTGAATCCAGGCCCTTTTGCAAGCGAGGCAAGCACTCTACCAACTGAGCTATGTCTCCAGCTCCTGAAATATAATGTAATTACAATGTTCATATTTCTTGGACTTCTGCCATGTGGTCTTTGTGCTCCGGGACATCTAGAAGAGACCAGATGAAGTCCCTCAGCCTCAGGGAACTGTCTGGACTCTCAAGGCTTGGCCAAGTCGTGATCGGTTGTGAGATGTCACCGGCAATTAGCAATTGTGAATGAGTTTTTAAGAAATAAATCAGTGCTGGCTGAGTCCAATTTCTTTCTGTGATAATGTCATTCTTAGTCCCTGCGTTCAAATCTGTTCCACCAAGTGGGAAAGACGAGGGGTGGGGGAACTGCCGCCTGCACGCAGCTGCTCTCGCTCGGCGCTGGTGGCTGCACGGCCGTGACTTTCTGTATCTTGACAAAAGTGTTTGGGATTTCATCCAAATTTGGGTATGTCCACGAGGAGGTACCACCCTAGTCAGTGTCATTTATCACATGGTGTTAGACACAGATAGCTGTGGGAACTGCCAATCTCTACTAGTCGACAGATGTCCCTCCCTCCCCCACCTCTCACCCCGCTTCTTTCCCTTATTTTCTTCCTCCTCCCTCTCATGTCTAAGGCACATGCAGTTTTCACTGGACCTCAGTAAAGTGAGAAAATTGAAGGACAGTGTTAACGAAACAAAACAGAACAGCCTGTGTGTGTGTGTGAAAGGTGGCGTCTTTCCTCGAGGAGCTGACCTTCCTTCTGCAGTCGTCTCCTTCTTCCCATCACATCTCCCTCTTGTACGGCAGGCGACGTGTTTAATGTTCTTACTTAGCAAAATGAAGACTGGCCCCCTGGGTTTGCCCCCGACTCAGCTGGTCTGAGAGCCCAGGCCTCTGGGAAGCCCAGCCTTCCACCCTGACCTGCTGTGGCCCTTCCTCCTCACCTCCCAGCTGTGTTCGTTTGTTTGCTAGAAGGCGGAGCACAGGCGAGTCAGGAAAAGGATGTGCGTGACCAAGGTGCACATGCGTGCATCCAGGCCGAGGCTGGGAGCAGGAGGCAGGCCTACACAGATGGCAGCACCCGTGGCTGCCGATACCGGAGTGACAAGGGAGAAAACAGAAGGAAGTAGTCAGAAAATAGATCTGGGCTCGGGTCCTGGCTCGGCCCTTGCTGACCGTGCACCTTGGGCCAGCCATAGCCTCCGAGCTCAGGTGCCTGGTCTGAGAGTCGGGTGCTCATACTTTGCTCGTACTTTCCTCGTAGGCCTCACCAGGTGGAAGGGAGAAAATGCGTGTAAAGGCACAAAGTGACCACACCCTGCCACCTGGGCCTGCACCTTGTGACCTTCCTCCTCCAACATTAACGCGGTGGTTTGCACACAGTAGGAACTTGGGAAATGTTGGTTTGCTGGGCTGAATGTTTCGAAGTGTGAGTGCTAGTCTATGAGGAAGGATATGGAAGGTTCCCATCAGTGACGGAGCTGATCCCTCTGGGAGGGAGAGGCCCCTCTTACTCCTGGTCCCAGCTGAGAGAACCAAGGCCGGGAGCAGTGGGCAGTTGTCTGACCTTCCTTCTGCAGAACTGAGATGTGAATCAGACCTGCCGTGGAGGCTGCTCTCGGAACCACCATGACAAGCTGGTGGCCTGCGGTCTCTCAGATGCATTGTAGGCCTTAGATCGTGGAAAGCTATGATTAAGGCTGTGAGTGACTGGGCTCCCCCACCCATCGAGCCGGCAGATACATTTGGCCTATTTCCCAGAGTCCACTCATTTCCCCACCCCTCCCACGCACCCTGCCCCTCTTATGTGTTCTCCATAACGGCTTCAGAAGCAAAATAAAAAATGGTGACTGAGGTCAGTGCCACACAAGAACAGGCTTGGCGACATGGGGGAGCCCTGCCTGTGCCTCTAGGCAAGGCCGTGAGAGGAACCTGGGAGGGGGATGGTAAAGGGCACCTGGGAGAGCAAGGCTGTCCCTGGCTTTGTGTGTCACTTGGGGCCAGGTGGCAAGGGGCCAGGCTTCAGCACCTAGCACATTCGAGTCCCCTGGCGTGGACACACTTACATTATTAAAAGGCTCTTTCCAGCCTGACATGACTTCTCTCAGGCACGTGCTCATTCACAGGGGAGATTGATAAGGTCATTAGAATGCCTAGTCCTGCTATTTTGGGTAGCATCCTTTCAGCAGGGTTCTCCAACCATAGCTGAATGACTGCATCTGGACTATAATAATACAGTGTCATAAAAAATCCTCGTGCCTTTCTGTACTTGAAAACACACCATCTCCAACCACACATTTTAACCCTGTAAGTCCCATCCCTTGTACACAATAGAAGTATATGTAGTATAGCAAAGGCTATTTACAGTAATAAATCACAGTCCTTAATAAAGTTGAGCGAGACTTGGCCAATAATAAGGTGGTGGTCACAGAGAACAGGCCAAGAGCAGCGCAGAGACCTTGAACATCTGTAATCTCCTGCACACGAGGTGGACCTGCATCAGCTTTCTGAACATGAGAAGATGGGAATCAGTTTCCTGTTTCACGGAGCAGACCAAGGCCTAGGTAAATTACTTGCCGAAGGTCAGAGAGCCAGGAAGTGGGAAGAATTGGACTTCCTGGGCTGGGGATACAGCTCAGTTGGTAGAGGACTTGCCTAACATGCACAAGGCCCTGGGTTCAATCCCCAGCACCACAGGAGAAAAAAAAAAAAAAAGAATTGGACTTCCCTTCTGGAACCAGCTTTCAGACGTACATGTTCTGACTTGAGGGCCAAAGCAGTCCTCTCCTCTGGGCCGGGCCCCATACCTGTCCTGGGGCCTTTCCCTCTTTGGTTCCTAAAGAATAGGCTCAGGTAGGCCCCTGAGGTCCCGTGGGCTTCCGCAGGACTCTGTAGGTAGAACAGGATGTGAGCAGCTGCCCAGACCCTGCCCACCTGGGTTGTCGCGCACAGTGGCTCTCAAGTCCCTTCTGGCCTCCTGCTTCTGGCACTTTTAGCTCCAAGGATGAATTGAACTGAATTGAAATGTTTAGGTGGAAGATGCCTCAGCAGCTGCTTCCACATTTGAAATCATTCCCACTTGAACTTCCCAGAGAGCCCTGGGACACTTTCATTATCAAGGTAGCCACCGGCTCTGTCACCCCTTGAGGAGGGTGGAGGAGGGGGCAATACAGTGGCCATCCTAAAACTGCCAGGACAGGGCGGGACTGGAGAAGGGCCTTAGCGGGATGAGCAAAGGTAAACCTGACCAGAAAGTCCAGCCAGATGGAGCTGGTGATCTGCCAGCACATGCAGAGACAAACAAAAACTGCAATATCAGAGTGGCTCAAATGCCCAGAATCATGAGATAAGAGGAGCCATCTGTCCCCTGGGAAATCAGAAAATACCAGCGTAGTGGGGCGGCAGAAACTGGTGCCAGGCTGCCAGCCCCGCCCAGGAAAGCCAAGGGAGTGCTGTGGGCTTCGGAGGCATCAGAGCCCAGCCCAGACGGGAAAGCATGCTCAGGGAACTGTGCTTGGCACCCAAGGTCACAGTCACCTTAGAACACTGGACACTGAAAGGGAAGATCAGAAACTCACATCACTGTGGGACACCTGAGCTACACTAGTGGCCAGGCGCGAGCGTGCTGTGAATGCCACCGCGGGTGAAGCCAGGAGGCCCAAAGAATAAAGCTGCAGAGTGCTCGTGTCAGGGTAGCACCTGGATGCCATCCTGCCTCTGCTGCTGCCTGGCTGGCTGGCCTCGGGCCGGCGTGTGAGGCCTCCTGCCTCCATTCACCCAGGCCCTGACTTGCAGGTCATCATCATGATGAGCTGCATAAGTGCATGTGGAGCGCTTGGCATGGTGGCTGGAACACAGCACGTCACCTGTGACTATCTACCTGTTAGCCAGGCATAATAGCACCCACCTACAGTCCCAGCTACTCAGGAGGCTGAGGCAGGAGGTCCCTTGAGCCCAGGAGTCTAGGGCCAACCTGAGCAAGATGAGGCCCTGCCTTAAAAAAATGTTTTTTAATAAAATATTTACACCTACCAGTTAGTTCCTGTGGCAGGCATCCTGAGTTGAGTAGTGGTGCAGTAAAAGTAAATTTATTTGGGAAAGTGAGACATGCTGTAATGTTGTTTGGCTGGATTTGTTCAATATAGATTATTAAAATAGTTCCACTGTCGCAGTGATCTGTGCTCGTGTGTCGGTACTGCTTCTGGGATTACAAAGCCCTTTGAATTGATACATTGATAAGGATAAATCAAAACATCCAGACATCCAGCAGTGCGCCCTGTCATTTCGGACCCAGGCCCATCTCTTTAGGAAAGGCCCCTTCTGTTGTTGATACTAGATTTGGCGGGGGCCCTGCGTGGGTATAAGTTTTATAACTTCCGGTCATTCCCAGTCTCTCTCTTGGTCTCCCTGGGAAGCAGGTGGAGAGAATGACACGTACCGCCACGTGCCTGGTGTTGCTTTCCGTGCCTTGTCTCATTGAGTTCTCGTGGTGGCCCCTTTCTCATTGTGAGAGAGACGTGACTGTCCCTGGGTTGCTGATGGGGAATCTGAAGCCCAGGCTACTCTGCTGGTCACTGCAAACCATCACCAGCACCCAGTCTGCCCAATTCTGGGCCAGCCAGAGAGGACTCAGTGACCTGAGAGGGACAGCCAGGGACAGCAATGGACCTGGTGTGCCAGGGAAGGTACTGCGTGGCACTGTCCAGGTCCTCACAGATCAGGTCCTGCAGGGAGGACCCCTCACTTGGCAGTAATCCTAGATTGACAGTTGTCACCTGAACATTTAACTTCCTGCCCACGTCTGCTGGAAAGTAAAGCCAGTGCGTCGTGGGCACAAGGAGAAGCCGCATTTGTTGATTGCTAGCATGAGGCTCCATCCTGGGCCTGGCCCGCAGTCAGCATCTATCTTGACAATGACAGTGTGTTCTTACAGCATCTCGCGTTGACTCACCCTCCGTCTGCAGACTTGCTGGCCATTTGGGAAAGGATGTGGGGGAGTTAAGATGGGGAGGTGTCAAATTGTTACTGAGACGTTTCTAATTTGTGATGTGTGGTTCTAAAGCCAAGTCTCCTCTCCTGGTTTTCCTGTTTTCTACAGCACCCCTTGGGGAAAGACATTCTCTGCTCCCACCAAGTTGGCAGGGCGTGCTTCCTGAGTCTCCTGGGCGTCCTTATTGCCAGTGCCGGCACCTTCTGAGAGCCCCACTCTCTCCTCCCGGGAAGGATCATGGGAGAAACAGAAGGGAAGAAGGATGAGGCGGACTATAAGCGCCTGCAGACCTTCCCTCTGGTCAGGGTAAGCCCTATGGGAGGGAGACACAGCCCAGGGCCCTTGCAGCCTGGAGAGAGGTGGGTGGAGCGCGTCCCCTGCAGGATGGTGGTGCCAAGAGGAGGAGGCTCTGCTGGCTCAGATCTAAACATCCAGGGGGCAACAGTGATTCATCCTTTCATTCATTCATTCATTTGCCAAGTATATATTTAGGCCTCTTGCTGTATGCCGGACATGGTTCTGGGCACTGTGGAGAGGGTGGTATGTGAGACAGATGTCCCTGGCCCACGTGAAAGGAATGTTTAAAGGACACGGTTGCAGACAGTAAGTGCTACAAAGCAACACAGAGCCGGTGTGCGGGGCGAGCAGGCAGAGGCCAGCATTTTTGGAGAAGCTCCTCAGATCGGAGACCAGAATGGAGTTAGAGAGTAGGCCTCGCAGAGTTGTGGGGGAGGACATTCCCAGCAGAGAAACAGCAGGCCCAGGAGGCCCAGGAGGCCCAGGTGGGATGGGCACAGAATCCTGGAGCAGCAGAGAAAAAGGCCCCATGGCTGGCCCAGCGGGCAGGACATCAGGACATGAGGGTCAGAGTGACGGAGGAGCAGACGGGACAGGCCTGGCGGGGCTGCAGGGAGGACTATGGCTAGGAATGCGGGTGCGTCCTGAGGTCAGGGAAGCAGGAGAGGGCCTAAACCGAGGTGTGATGGTTCTCTTTTTAAGATTACTCGAGCTGTTGCAAGAACATGGGCTTGGGACGCCAGGTGGCAGTGGGGAAAGCAGGGAGGCCCAGATGGAGCAGCGGCTGGGCAGGGCCTGGAGGAGGCCTGGAGGCAGCAGGGCTCATGGGGGAGGGGCCCGAGTGAGGGGAGGAGGGTTGAGGACTATTCCCAGAGTGACCAAGGAAGGGAAGATGTAGGAAGAGTAGGTGTGTGGGGAAAAGTGACTTTTCAGATATCTAAATGAGGTTGTCAAGGGGACAGTTGGACATGGGAATCCAGAGCCCAAGGAAGAGGTTAGTGCTGGGGAAGAAGGTGCGGAAAGCCTCTCCCTGTATAGAGGACACAGACAAAGTCCCCCGGAGCAGAGAGTGGGCACGGCTGGCCTTCCTGCAGCTGGGAGGAGGCCAGCAAGCTAATTAAGAGAGAGCAGCCGGAGAGGCGCGGGAGGCACAGGAGCCCTCGGAGTGGTGAGGCTGTGCCTTCTGGCTCTGAGAGGTCTAATTGGAAGCCACACCACCACTGCCCCCAAGCCCGGCCTGCCCTTCTCCCCTTGTCCTGGCTGGGCCTTGGCACCTCGCAGGGCACCTAGGCTCCAGAGCACCTGGACTCCACTCCGTGCCATACCCCTTGGCCTCAACTGCAGGCCTGTCAGGAGTTGAGTCCCCTGCCCGAGGCTGTGCCAGGGAAGTCACCTGGTGTCTGTGCCTTAAGCATGAAATGGAGAGGCCAGCCAGGGAGGCCAGGCCGTGGGCTAAGAAGCCTCTCTTTGTTTGTCCCCTGCCCTCTCTAGCACTCGGACATGCCAGAGGAGATGCGAGTGGAAACCATGGAGCTGTGTGTCACAGCCTGTGAGAAATTCTCCAACAACAACGAGGTACTGCCACCAGCACAGGCGGCCCCTCGTGTCTCTGCTGACCCTGCGTGTGAACAGAGTGGCCCCCGACCCCTGTAGCCAGCGCCAAAGAGTCCTGCTAAGACTAGGCCCAAGGCTTCCTGGGATTCAGTCAGTCTGGAGGCCAGGGAGAGAAGAGGCTGCTGCTGCCCGGGCACCGAGGGTCACGCCCAGCCTAGAGGGAGAGAAGCCCGAGGGTCTCTGCAGCCCTGCCCCAGACCCTCAGGTGGGCTGCTGGCCCGGGCAGTCCCCAGGGCTCCATCTCAGTGGCGAGCAGAGGCCCGCCCAGGCATTCATCCACGCATCCATCATCCATCCAGAGGAGTGAGGGCCCTCTCCATGCCAGGACTGTCACCGTGGCCGGGATGTGGCCAGTGGGCTTGTTTCCAGGGGTGGTGGGAAGGAGCCCGTGTCGCACAGTGGTGGGAGGCAGATCCTGGGCACCTGACTCTGGCCGAGCAGGCCAAGTCCCTGTCCCATCTCGGCCCCTCCTGCTCCCAACTCTCAGGCTGGCCTTTCTCATCTCTGAGCCCAGCAACCTAGTCTGTTAGTTCAGGATGGTGGCCACAGCTCCTCACTGGGCAGCCTTGGTTTACTTACTGAGCCTATGGGGACAGAGGGCTCGGCGTGCGCCTGTCATGGTGGTGGGTGGTCCTGGTACACAGCGATGCCGGAGCATGGGCCGCACCCTGCAAGACGGGTGCTCTGCCCCTCACCAGACCTGCTCTTCCTGCTGGGGAAGCTTCTGGAGAGAGCCAGCACTGAAGGCAGTGGGCTGCCACCCTGACTAGGACAAACAGTCTGCCCTCTCCCTGAGCCCCGTTAGGACAAGGCCTTTCACCCAGGCGCCTGCGGGACAATGACAATCCCTTACAGTCTGCAAACTGCTCTCGTGTCTGCCATTTCATGTGGTCCCAAGATCAGCTTTGTGCCCCATCCTGTCAGCTCACAGCCGAGGACTTGGTGGCCTGGCCCAGGATCCAGCACTGAGCACAGAGGCCGACTCAGCCCGGGGGCTGCCCTCAGCCCGAGCCCTCCCGCCCGCCCTCGCGGGTTCCCTCCTGGCTGGTGAGGGAGTGTCTGGTTTTGCTGTGTGATGGCCCTGGCAGGAGGTGGCCTGTGGGGAGGCCCTTCCTGAAGGTTCTAGGAGCAGGAGAGCAACAGAAATGGTGCCCCAGGACCATGGTGCCAGCTGATGCCTGCCCCTCGCTGCCCCCTCACGAGCTCCCTCTCCCTTCCAGAGCGCCGCCAAGATGATCAAAGAGACCATGGACAAGAAGTTCGGCTCCTCCTGGCACGTGGTGATCGGCGAGGGCTTCGGGTTTGAGATCACTCACGAGGTGAAGAACCTCCTCTACCTGTACTTCGGGGGCACGCTGGCCGTGTGTGTCTGGAAGTGCTCCTGACACTCTGTCCCCTGCAGGGCTTTGTCCTGCCCCTGCTCTGGGATGGGGAGCAGCTCCAGGCAGGTCCTGGCTTTTCCAAGGAGTTTGGGGTCTTTTATTTTTGTCCTTGTGTACCAGTGTCTTGAGCCACGCCAGTGTGAGAATGAATTCGCCACTCCCGGCTCTCAGCCCTCCCACTGGGTCCCAAGCTACCGGTGGGGCTGAGGCAGCCCTCTCCCTGTAGGGAGGGTGGGAGTGACAGGGTAGGGAGTGGGTTTCTCCTGAGGACACGCCATCCTACCTTTCTCCAAGGGTGGCTGTCCCCTGGCATCCCTGGAGCCCGCTGCCTTCCATCCCTGTGCTGCTGGGAAATGCCCACTGTCCTTGTCATTAGTGGCTATATGAAAGTGGCCCCAAGAAGGAGCCTGTCCTCTCAAGGGACACGGGCAGCTTCTTGTCCTCTGGGGAAGTGGTGACCACCCCCCCTGAAGAAGCCCCTTCCCAGCTGGACCCCAGGTGCACAAGCCACCACATCCCACTGGACCTGCTCTCCCGGCCCGGCCTTGGCTGAGGACCAAGCAGTCCTCCCATCTCCCCTCCCCGCCCCAGGCTGCATGACCCTTGTATGCCGCCTCCACCAACCGCGCAGTCGCAGTCGAGAGCGGGGCCCTCGAGGTGTCACTGAGCCTCGGGTGAGACGCCTGGGCCAGGAGTGCTCTCACCGCAAGGCCGCTTCAGCAGGGAACCTGGCCTGCCGTGGCTTTCATCAGGGACCGCATGCCGATTTGTACTTCGTATCTCTGCTGGGTTTTCTATATTCTTTCTGAGTGTGGGGAGAAGGGTTTAGTAGAAGGGGACGAATCATATTTTACACAGCGGTCTTATTTATATGAATGTTTTGGTTTTTACAATTAAAATGACCAAAAACTGACCCTGGTCTGCAGCCTCTTAAGGTTAGATGGATCCGTGTCTTCAGGCTTGGCAGGTCCCCGGGGGCCTAGGAAGGTTCTGGCTAAATGCAAAGCCCTGTGCCACACACGGCCACTCACCCTGGCCCTGCCCTTCTCACCCATACTTCGTGGTCAGGGGTGGTCAGCGGCGAAGGCTGTTGGGTGGAGCCAGACCAAGCTCTGTAAGGACGTTTCCAGGCCACATAATGGTGCTCAGCTCAATGGTTGTGTATTCAAAAGCTGTGGGTGCCAGGCCCCGGGAGTTGGGGCTGCAAAGATGGAGACCCTCTGGCAGGGCGAGGCCTGAAGCCTACCCTGACTCCGCCACGGTGAGGGCTGCAGCGCGGTGGGGGACAGCGGAGTAAACTCACGGACAAGGAGCGGTTGTGAACGGGAGCCACATTTCAGAGCCAGGAAGCCCCTTCAGTCCAGGACCAGAGAACACCAGGCATGGCAGCCTGTCTTCCCCTTGCCCACAGGTGCTCCCGAGATGGTGCAGCCAAACACAGGCCCGGAGCCTGGGGCCTTGGCCGGGTCCTGCCCTTCTCGGGCCATGTGTCCAGTTGTCGCAAGATCTGTCACCAGATCTGGCAGCTGGCATTGCAAGGAAGACCAGTGGGGTGAGGAGGGACCTTGCGGCTGTGCTGGGTCCTGAGCTGAGTGCAGAGGGACGGCCGGGAGCAGGAAGGAGGAGCAGGAGTCGCTGCCTCAAGGCCAACCCTCCGGCCAGGGGCTTGCCATCCTGGGGGCTCGAGGACCTAACCTCAGCAGGCCCTGGCCCTCCAGACTTGGTGGCCAGGCAGCTCACTGGCAGGCTGGATCCCTGGGCCTCACCAGGTGCTGCTGGAGAGATGGGCTCGCGTGCAGATGGCAATAGAGGAGTGAGGCGGGGGTGGCGCCGGGGGTGGGAGGGGGCCGGGGCCTGGAATAGCCGCGGATCCACCGCCTGCTTTGCATCTGTTCTGCTGCATGTGGGAGCCCGCAAGTGAGGCTGGCTCAGCCTCGGCGGGGTGGCGGGTGGCGTGGTGGCCCCAGGAGTGTAGACCCAACCTCCCCAGGTCTGGCCGGGTTCAGCCTTGCTCCTAGGGCTTCCGCACCCCGGCTGTGGCCTGTGGAGTGGAACAGGAAGCGCCTGCCTCCCAAGCCCTAACCCGCAGTGGGGCTGTCGCTGCTGGGCACTCCTGCCAGCCCCCCAGGACTGGGCCGAGCTCACGAGATGGGCCTTGTGCAGTGCCCCTCCCTCATGACACAGAGCAGTGGTGCCACTGGTGGGAAGCCCCCCCCATCGCATCCCTCTGTGGCAGACCCTCCTGCTCCCAGGGTGGCATGGTCACTGTTACATAAGTGACCAGGGCCCGTGGCAGTTTCCCATGGAGGCCTGTGACAGCCAGTTGCCCTGGCCTCCCCACAGGCTGCTGGAAGAGGAGAGGGACATGACCACAGAAAGCAGCCATCCTGCTGGCCGATGGCCCACAGTCTAGTGAGGGAAGGGACCTAGGGATGGAAGAGCAGCGCACAGCCTCTCGGGAAAGTGAGGCAGGAGATGGCGAGTTCGAAGCCAGCCTCGGCAACTTAGTGAGACCCTTCTCAGAATAAGCAGAAAGGGCCTGGGGTGGGGGGTGACTCCGAGGCAGAGCGCCCCTGGAGGGGGGCGGGGAGCCCGCTGAAGTGTAACTTGCTAGTAGAGAGCAGGTGGGGTTCAGGGAGTCCTGGGCTCCAGGAAGGGAGGCTGATCATTAGAGGCTGGGGAGGCTTCCCCAGGGAAGTGGTGTGGAAAGAGGCCTCGGCATTTCCTGGGGCCGGTGAGCGGGGGGGTTCCCCACCACTGGAGGAGAGGGGCTCCCCTGGGGCTGGAGGAGGGGGGCAATCTGGCACAGGGTCCAGCTGAGAGGCACCTCCACAGCTGTCCACCTCGCAACAGCCGCTGCCTCTCTCAGAGCACAGGGCTGTCCTGGGTCTGCCTGACACCAGGTCCCCACGCCTGGTGCGCCCCGTCCACATGAGAGCCCCGGTGCCTGGGGTGAAACGCGGGTCCCTCCACCGGGGCCACAGCCCCACCAGCAGAGGCTCGCCTCCCTTGAGTAGCCGCGTGCGCCAGGACACTGAGGCCAGGACACTGAGGCCACCGGCGTGAGGAGGTGCAGGTCCAGGACTTGGCGACCAAGAGGTGGCCTGCTGCCTGCCCGGGGGTGGGGGCCACCTTTGAAGCTGGTGGGGCTGGTGGGGAATCTCGGGTAGACGTTTAATGTCGCCGTGGAAGTGTACAGAGCAACCTAGCATCTCATTTAACCCTCCTGCAGCTTCTCCAGAGGACTGGCCCTAGCAGGCAGGGGTGTCTGGGGGTTGTGGAGTCCCAGCCTGGCCACTGTCACCACCCTGCTCCCAGTCCTCCTCTGAGCAGACTCCTTCCCTAGCTCTGCGCCCTGGGTCTGGGAGGGGAGGGTGGCTTGGCCACAGCAGCACCCAGTCCCATTTTCCTTTGTTCTACTCAGTGTATTTAAGGCAGCCTCCTCCCACCGCCAGCTGCCACTTCAATCCCTGGAAAGGCGGCGGGGGTGGCGGGGGTGGCGGGGGCGGGAGATGGGGAGTATTAATCTGCGCCAGGCAGGCATTCATCGATCTGCTCTGTCGGGTTTACTTCTGTCCCTTTGGTGAGGATGCCACTCGTGTCCCCTCTTCAGGTGAGTGGAAGGGATTTGTTGGCAGAGCCGGGTTCACTGGGGGCTGGCACCTGAGCCCCCTTCAAAGCCTCTCAGTTGGCTGCCAGCTGGCTGGGACAGGCCACCTTGCTCCTCTGCGCCCAGAGTCCCACCTGCAAAGTAGGACCCACAGCTCCGCCTGCCTCCCCCCCGGGGTTGACTGTGGGCCCGGGGGACGGGCGGTGGCCATGAATGTGCCCGTGCCTTGAAGTTGCCAGGGCTGGTGGAAGACTGGGGTCAGGGCCAGGGTGCGAACCACCCCCTGCTCCTGGGATGAGGCGTGGGCTCTGGAAGGCTGGGCTGAGGGACAGGTAGGGCACGGCTTCCCGGCCCCTGGGCACCCCCCAGAGTCACAGCAGGGGAGCCGGCGGCCACACGGGCACACCCAGTGACCAGCACCCACACGGCTGGGATCAGATGATGTTCATCCTGAGCCAAGAGAGTCCCAACAGCAAGCGCACCCGGGGACCATGCTGTGACCAAGCAGTGGCCCCACTGTGTGTGCTTCCAGCCTCGACGTGGCCCAGAAGTGAGCCACGGAGGTTCCGTGAGGGTCCCCCACCTCACAGTGAGGAAATGGCTTCCCAAAGATCTCAGGCCATGCAGAGCGGGGCTGGCCCAGGCCGCGGTGCACCGGCAGCACAGGGCAGCCGGAGAGACCCCAGCCCCTCCAGGACACCAGCTCCATGGCACCCCAGACATGCATCCAGTCACTTGTGTCACTACTGGGCTGTGTGCAGTGTCCACCCCTGCTGCCCCTGAGTAACTCAGTAGCTAGGACTGTGACCTGTGCTTCCCCACGGCCTGGCACAAGGCCTGCCTGCAGCCAAAATGCATGTGGCCGGTCTCGGTGACGCACTTAACGCCAGCAGCTCGGGAGGCTGAGGCAGGAGGATCGCGAGTTCAAAGCCAGCCTCAGCAACTGGGAGGCACTAGGCAACTGAGTGAGACCCTGTCTCTAAATAAAATGCAAAGTAGGGCTGGGGGTGTGCCCCTGAGTTTAATCCCCGGTACCAAAAAAAAAAAAAAAAAAGAAAAAGAAATATATTTTGACGAGTGGGGGAGGGAAGGAAAGGATGAATGGACCAGTGGATGGGTGGGCGGTGGGGTGGATGGTGGGCGGTGGGGTGGGTGGTGGGTGGATGGATGGGTAGAAAAGATGGAAGAGACTTCTCCGGGAGGCTCGTGGTGGCAGGCACATCTGTAACCAGGAAAGCGCCTGATCCCTCTCCTTTGACTCCGATGCCCTCTGCCGAGCTCCCAGGCCTGCCACAACAAGCCCCGGGTGTCGGGTCTGACAGTACCGACACGGCTGGGCTTCGACCTGGTTCTTAGGATGAAACCCAGAAGCAGCGTGGGTGGATTCCCGCGGGGGAGCCCCTTTGCTCACAGGGAGCGCGCGGGGAGCACGTGGGTGTCACCATTAGACCTGGGTTCTAGCACAGTCTTGCCACTTGCCAGCCATGTGGCCTTTTGTGAGTCCCTCTGTCTCCTGAGCCCGTCCTCCGTGTGTATGGAGTGGGGAGAGGTCCTTGCTCCTGACCCCAGAGGGCCACTGGGAAGGCTGAGGCATGGTGGAGGGAAGGCCAGTGCAGCCTGGGTAGCTTCCGTGGCCAGGTGTTGCCCGGGGGCCTAGCCAGCAGCAAGCCAGAGGCCCTAGGCCTCGGCTGCCCACGACAGCAGCTTCCAGCCTCATTTGCAGACGGGGCCCGGCCTGCTGTCCTGGTCCTCCCAGCGGTCACTCAGCAGGTATCCCAGGAGCTCAGGTGAGTGCTGAGCCCACTCGGGACAAAGGGACCATCCTGGCCTGGGGGTGGGGACTTTAAAGAGGCTTCCTGGAGGAAGGCTAGCAGGGCTGGGGGTGCCTTCCCAACAGGAACCTCTTCAAGCCCTTTCTAGAGCCTTCCCTGACCACCGTGGGCTCAGAACCTCCCTGCTTTTGACTGCTCTGGAGGTCTGGGGCCTGTAGAAGCTGAGGGGCCTGGCAAGATCCTCCGTGGCACTTAGCACAGGGTTGCGTACACTTCTGGCGCTCAATAAATGGTTATTAAGTGAACATCCTTGTCATCCATTAATCAGAACTTCCTGCCAATTTTTTTTTTTTTTTTTTGCCAGATTCTGCTGGGACCAGGGACACATGACTGTTATCCTGTGTACTGCAGTCAGGCCTCTGGGGGAGCCAACAGGATCACGAATGTCCTGGGGGCAGGCACCAAAGAGGCACCTTTGAACTGCATCTATTTTATTTATTTTGGTGCTGGGGATTGAACTCAGAGATGTAT